AACCCTCTTGGACCGGAAACAGTCCGAGCCGAAGCCCAGAGTCGCAGCCATCCAGCCGCAGCCACCTCGCCGAAGCCCGGAGCAGCAGCCGTCAAGCCCGTAGCCACCTCGCCTTCGGTTTTCCTTCGGACGAAGCTGCCTGCGGTAGCAGTTCGGACCGTAGCCTCTCCTTCTCCTCAGATCCGCACCAGCAGCCAAAATCACTCCCGTTCTAGGCTGCTAAGATCGAGACTTCGCCCAAACTTCGGATTTTCCACCTCTTTACCCGGTTTTCAACCACGATTCAGTTTTAAGCCCGTTTTTAATTATTTTAACGGGGGATTTTCACCCAAAACTTTATTTTAACATATTAAGACCCATATGTGTTAATTAATCACGTTTTTAATGCAAATCTTATCCAAGATTTAGTGGTTGGAGTAATTAAAGTGGAGTGTTGACCTTGCTTTACTTTATGACACAAGCAACCACCCCCATCACCCACTCTATGGTCAGCCACTCCTCCCACCATACCTTGGTCATGTCAAGGTACTTTCTCATCATTTTTCCCACCCTCCCCACATTTTTGGCTGAAACAACCCTATCTCTTTCCTCATTCTCACACATTTCTCTCATTTCCACCAAAGATCAAACACAACTTTTCTCTCAAGCGTTCTCTCTCAATTTCGGGATTTCAAGGCTGATCATCAAGTGTTCTTCCACTCTTTTTAAGTATAATTCATCCTCCTTGTGATTATTACACTTTATTCTACTCAAATCATGGGTTGCTCACACAAATTCCATCCCTTTAGTGTTAGATTCTTGAAATCTTCAAGGCTTCTTCAAGTATTATTGAGTTGAACACTTCCCTTCTCCAACACTCATCCACTGAAATCACACAAGGTGAGTTCATACCCCTACATTTTCATGTTTTATTAAGTTTTAAGGGGGGAATACAAGTTAAATCACCAAGAACACAACTAAATATTTCTAACAGCTTTCATCAGAAAAGTTGGGTTCCATTTACGAACTGTTTTGATCACCTTAAACATTTTATTTTTCAAAAATGTTTTAGGTTCAAGTAGTTCCAGTTCTTAGCTTTGAAAGTTTACTTGCACATCTCCATACGATTTTTCTACAATTTATGGTGATTTTTACAAAACTGCTTATCATTTCAAGAACCAATCCAGATCAGTCTGTGGTTATGGACGTTTTCACCTAAGTTGGAGGTCACTAAAAATCATGGGAAAATTTATGAACAAAGTAGCCTCATTTTCTAAACTCCAAGAATTTACGGATTTTGATTTGGACATGTTATGAATTTGATATAAATTTTCTAAGAACAGTAAAAGAAAATGTTAATAACAAAAAAATGATAACAATTTCATTTCACCTTGTAACATGTCGAGCAAGGTGTATATCTTTATGTGAATATATGTTATTTCAAATAAATGACATTTTGTCTTAGTATATAGACATGCATAAGTTAATAAATGGATTTTGATATATATATATATATATATATATATATAAAATATATAAAATATAATATAATATAATATAATATAATATAATATAATATAATATAAAAGATAACAAATTGTTATAATCAAAGTACATCCATTACATACAAACATTTGAATGAACTATGTGATGTATAGTTTGCGTACATTACCACTACTATCCTTGTTTTGATAAACTATAATAGGTATGGTTTATGATAAATTACATAACACACTCATACAAAAAGGCTACATTTACACAAAAGCGACTTTCATTACGTTACATGTAAATTCGTTAATGACTTTGTGAGACATTCGCTTCACATTTACCAATAAGTCTTGTATTGTAACCAGAGTCTCTTAGAGGGAGAGCGTGATAGTTGTATATAGATCTATATTGGGTTTGACAACCTCACACCTTAACTGCATGCAACAGTTAGACCGATAGGTCTGGGGTGACAAATGTCATAACATTTCCAACGCCTGAAGAACGTCGTTTCAGGCCAACTAGGTCATAGCATGGTTATAATAACTCACAGAAAGTATTAACAAACATAGGAATTTACGTGAGTTTCATTGAAAATAAAAGAGTTTATGTCGATATAAACTTGCATTATTTACTATAAGTAAGAAATGTTACTTATACATGTCGGTCTCTGGATATAAGACTACATTACACATTTTAAGGAAAATATCAAATTTTTCTGGAACAAACATTACATTTACAAGAGAAAGGATTTTATCAAGTTAAAACAAAAGCTTATGAACTCACCAACCTTTGTGTTGACACTTTTTCAAACTTCCGTTTTATGTCAGTTTTTATAGTTTATGACAGTTTTCAGACAAGGACCATAAATTCGGTTTTGGTCTCATTTTTTCTGGTACAGACGAAACTATCATCAAAGCATTCTAAATTCTTGTCTCTCTGAGTCTTATCCGATTAAAAAATATTGGGAGTACCACCCAAATGCTTTAATCTGAAAGTGTTTTACACGATTCTCAGAATTCCAAGCCTTACTATACCCCAATTTCTAACACGATGTTCGTGCGTGCGTCCAAAACAATGACCGAACCCGAGCCGTGAGATCTCTTTGATTGTTGTTCCGTAAATGTGTCATCTTTATTCCGTTTTGGGTCTTCCTTTACAATCTTCCAAATCTTTTCGTGCTCGAAAACGTGACCCGTCTTGATATGATATTGTCCCATCGCCGCTCTATAAATGTCAAAATCAGTCGCACAACTTTGCTTGTGCGAGAAAAGTTTGTTGCAGATGAAATTGAACTTGATGCAATTCTTGATTATTTGAGTCAATTTTCTACTCAACATATTGTGATTGCGATAATTTGCATTATTCTTCAAAATGGTCCGAAATTTCCCGATCATAGCTTCCCAAAAGCAACTTTTCTCATATCTTTTTCCTTGAGTTTGATTTTTTGATGTCCCGCACCATGATACCGCCAACGCGTATTCTTCATATTCCACCATGTTGGAGGTTCGTCTTCCGATTGCTCCACCATGACCGCTTTCCTTTTCCTCCGTGCTCTCCCTTTGTTGGTCGTTTTTTCCGACTCCCCATGCTTGCGTCTCGGGTACCGTTTCTTGCTTGGGTGGTGGTTGTATGATATTTTGTTGCATTGTAGCGAATGTGTTGAAAATGTTTTGTGGTAGGGTTGTAGGGAATTATGGTTGGGGTGAGGCGAGATTGAAAAGGTTGCCTTGAGTGTTGAGGATGTTCACGTATAACTCGTATTGTACAAAACCGAGAGGCGGAGATGTATTTGTGTTCGGAGGAGGAGTGTTGGGGTTTTGATCCATAGTGATAGAATGAGAAATTGTTTGATGATTTAAAATAAGATGAGAGAAATAATTTGGATTAATGTAAAAAAAATAAAGTTAGATGTGTATATATAAGTATAAAAATTAGAGTTAAAGTTGAAATATATATATATATATATATATATATATATATATATATATATATATATATATATATATATATATATATATATATATATATTAACCATTTTAAATGGTTCAATATATTATTTGTTGGGAGTCTCAATCGAAATTAACCCGTTTCTAGTCGTTACACTAACGTCTCGTAATATAACGCCGAATTACGCATGTCGAGGGCGTGTAGCCGACGTTATACCGACATTTTTTTAGTGCCATGTCGTATTAAGGGGACGTCCCGTTGTCCGCTCTCATCTAAAAGTAGATGTAAACTTATGAAATAGTTGGTAGTTGATAGTATAAATTTTATAAAAGAACGTTATATAAAAATAGATAAATAAATAAATATATTTTAAAAGTAATTTTAAAAATTTATTAAAAAACTCAATAGTTTTTCTTGTACGTTACAAGCTTTTTAAGTTTTTTTATTTAAAATAAAAGTTAAATGTTCAAACTCTCAAACAAAACTTTTTTGTTAAAAGCTACAAAACTAGAAGATCTTAAAGGTTCACTACCAACACCAACGTGCTTTTAATATATAGTGTTTAAAAATTTGTTTCTAAAAATAAACATTATAACATTTATTTTATAATTGATTTCTTAAAACATTTTATTAGACTTATATACAAATAAAAGTATATAAATACAACTCTTCAAATGGGATGCATGATAAGGCATTAATAATTCAACATAATATATGTATTTGTAATTTGTTGCACGTGAGAAAATTCTCATAACAAATTAAATATTATCTCCATTCTTCACAAACGATATGTTTATGTCTAATGATATATCTCTAATGATTTTAAAATCGAAAAGTAATTAGTTTGTTATCATCTTAACAAGTTGCTTTTGAACCAACCAATAACAACTGTTATATTTGTAAACTTTAGATGATCAGTTTAAAACAAAATTACAAAATAAATAAATAAATAAATAATAAAGAATTAATTAATTAAAAAAAAATTAAAGAAAAAGTTTTTACAACTATTTAACCGGGTAATTCCATAAGATACGACCAAAGGGTTTGTAGCCCAGTGGTATCCGGTGTTGCCCTCCCTACTTGAGGTTGAGGGTTCAAGTCCCGTCGTTGACATATGTGGATTTAAGGTGTAGTTTAGGAGTATCATAGGTGGATTTAAGGTGTAGTTTAGGAGTAGGTTAGATTTGCCGTTTCAAAAAAATTCCATAAGATAAGAGTCCATAACCATGTAAACTCAAAATTGAACTAAGAACAAATTTAGAAGTCAATTAACACGAATAAAGAGAAAATGTCAGCTACTTCCCTTTGATTTAATATATAACAAGTCAAATTTAGGGTATGTCTATTAAAATAAATATTAAAATAAGAGTGTATATTTAGTAACCACAACGTAGATGGGCAAAAACAATGTCGATGTGAAGAATACAAAAATAATAATACAAAGTTTGAGAATTTATTACTTAAAATCCATAAATACTACGTAGTATTATTTTAGCGGGTCCAGTATTATCCAGTGGGTAGTTCTTTATGCTAACATTTCTTCCTTATCCACGTCATCACACTTGATCCTATAACTCTATCCAACAGGCAGGAACAGGTCTCCGATCCCTAGGCTATATTTACTCTTCTGCCCCTATATCTTCGTAACAGTAAGCTTCTACCCATTTCCATTAATGCCCCTGTCTTCCTCTCGAAAGTCGAAACTGCTTTCGTCTTCTACGTGTCTTCGCCGGAAAACGCCACCTCAGCCTTAGCGACGAAGTTATCCGAATTCGTCACTTCTAAATTTAGAGAGAGAGAGAGAGAGAAAGAGAGAGATCGCACACAGAAGTGTGCGTTGATTCATGAACGACTATGAATTTCAAAATTACAATATCATATGTGCTGTATTTAATAATGGTTGTTCTGATAAGCATGGAGTGATCCATTCCATTGTTATGAAGTTCTTCGGTGCTTTTGTTTTGCTGCTCTCTTCTTCTTCTTCTTCGCAGTTCTTATGCATTGTTCGCTTGATTGATCTCCATCAGGTTCCGATTCCTTTGATACTGTTTTATTGTTAATTTGTGAGCATTGGATTTGTAGTTTAGGACGTTTGATATGCTTTTTATAGATCCTCGGATTTAGTTTATTTTTCTGAAAATTGAGCTTGTTTTTTTTTGTGTTTTGAGCTAAGCAGAGCTTCGATTGCTATTTAAATGGCGAAATGCAGCACTGCTCGACACTTTTTTAGGTTAACCAGTCTTCAGATTGGGTATGAATCTTCGCGTCAAGCATACCTGATTTATTAATTTTAGGTTTTCACAATTATTTTCACTTGGTGCAACTTGCGAATTAAGATTTTGCTGCAAAATTGAGATCGAATTGTTCTGTTTGTGGTATTGATGAAAGATTTTACAACCTGAATTCATATCACGGAGTTAATTCTATGGTATCATATTTTTCTTTGTTGCAGAGACTTGCAATCGTATCTTTCAGATCTTAGCCTCTTCTTAGCACCTGATAGCAAGACATTCTATGTATTGGTAGATAACAGACCATGGCTGCAAGACTTAGTATCACGTCCTGCACACCTGTGGCAATTAATGGTTACCAAGGTCCCTACTAAAATCTAAAACATCATATTATTCTTCCACCTGTTATACGTCAAACAATCATATCATCATAACCATAACACTCTTCTTGATTATGTTTTCAGTCTCGGATGTCCCCTTTCGCGATCAGAAGAGCAAGAAACGCTAGGAAAGACGCCACCCAAAGTTTCAACGAGTTGAAGTTCTCTTCTGAAACTTCAACTTCAACCCCATCTGAAAATCTGAGACGATGGTTCCTGGTGATAGATGCTGCAATTCTCTCAAAAAAGAGGGCCCTGCTACCTGTTGAGAAACTTAGAACTTCCTTGCTTGCAAGTAGCAAACTACATAGAACCTTATATGGGTTCATCGTTTTTGAAGTCGCCTGGAAAAATGTACGTGGCATCAATTACTTGAATGAACTTCAGGTATTTAAATCTCTCATCTTACTTCTTATATACTATCTTTCTCGTTGATTCATGATTTAAATCGGATTTCTTATTCTTTGAACAGACTGATACTTGTCTTGCTATAGAAGCAAAACACATGAGAAGATGGGAATTCGATAGTATATCTCAAGCTGCTAAAGGCATAACTTCATGGTTTCCAGGGACACCAAGTGAGTGTTCTCTTTTAAAACAGCAACTCAACTCCATGAATGTTGAGACTGATTCACAAAGCGACTCATGTGAAGAGGTAGATGAAGCTACTGAATACATGGACGCATTACTTATATTTCGTTTCAATGATCATGATCTTCCTTTCGAATTACAAGACATAATTATGCCAGACTTGCGATTGCTTACTTTATTAGAAGCTGGACTTCCATCTTGGGTTATCTTCTTTCAATCCTACCCAGTATTCTGCCATATATATCGGCCATGGATGTGCCCTCTAGCAAGATTTTTATACGTAGCAATTTCAGTTGTTACAGTCGTGATTGGCTTCTATGATTTGTATAAAAACATCCCTCTTCTTAAAGCAACCGCATCCCGTTTATGTGGGCCACTTTTTGGGTGGATAGAAACATGGGAAATGGTGTCGAGAATCAAGTATTTGGGGACTATGTTGTTTTTGCATAACTCTGAGAAAGCAGTTAAGTGGTTCTTGATGATGACGTGTACTCTACAATCACATGTTTCATTTCTGACTCGGCCATTAATGGTGGTTTTGGAGGTCCTTCTTCCCATTTGGAACATATTCATACAGACAGGGGATTATTTCTTCTCTTTCGTTTGGATTCTGATGACAACCTTTTGGAATACATTTGAGAATCTAATCGATATCATATTGCTTCCTGTTTATTTCATCGCATCGATCCTTTGGATTATTGGTAAGTTAATAACTTTATTTCAAGGTCTCGATAGTTTGAAAACTTACTTAAAATTTTTAATATCGCAGCAACAGCGATCTTGTACCCGGTATTCTGGTTTGTTTGGGGGATACTGTGTGCTCCAGTTAAACTTGTTGTTGGGGTATCGAATTTTGTGGGATTTATGTTTAACCATATGTATAATTTGAGTGGAGTTATATGGATTTTTGTGAGTGGTATATTTAAGGTAGCTTCGAATGCTGAAACAGCTGCTAGCACTTATGAAATTTCCATGTGGCGTGCTCTTTGGAATGATCTTTTCTCTCAGGTACATATACATACATATGGATGTATCATGTCATCAAGTCACATATATTCTTTATGTGGTTAATTAATTAGTTTGAATAATTTTTATTTTGGTAGATTTTCCGTGCTGTTCGGAGCATTTTGAATGGGTTTGTTGCGTTTTTCACAGCTTGCAATAGGCATCGACTAAGGTGCACTATTTGGATTATAAAAAAATTAAAAGAATTCTCCAATATGTATAGAAATTGATACAATATTTATTATATGGATGATGAGTATTTGCAATTTGCAGCATATATAATCACGTACAAGAGTTAATTAGAAGACTTGATCAGCCAATTACAGGGAGGTCACGTCTCTTGAATTCCATACAAAGAGTGAAGAAGTCAGGAAGCAAAACACTGGTGCGTTTACTATATATGATATGATGGTTTGACCTTGAATGTGAATTTGTTATATATGGATATTTATAATATAGGTGGAAAGCATGGATGGAAGGAGGGGATTGGTTGCTAAAAATATAAAAAAACATTGTTGACATGTAACCGAATGTTGTATACAAAAAAACACCATTGGTATAAGATCGAGGGGTTTTGACAATATCAGGCAGCTTGTTGTGTTGAATATTTTTGGGCAACAACAAGAAGGCGTGGTTTGGGAGATGATAAATTACAAGGTTTTGGAGGAGTAAATATACATATACATACATGTATATAATAATATCAAATAACTGATTAGTGAATACGCTGTTTTTGTTTTTTTATGATTTGCGTTTTATATAGTTACTTAATTTTTGTGGAGATGGCTATTGTCTAGTTCAAAGCTTTTGCTAAACTTGGAACTAGATAATAATATTATGATGAACGGGTTAATAAACTGACTTATCTACATAACGTTCAGAAAGTACCAAATTATCTTTACAACATTGATTTGGAAATACTCAACGGTAAATGTACATATTTTTGAAAAAGGAAGTGATATTTCCTTTACATACTGTACAACACATTTTTAGTTATTTATGAAAATAGGAGTCATATAATTTTTATTCTTAATTAAAAAGTTAAAAATATCTTTTAGTGGAAAAGGATAACAAAAAAAAAAATCTACCAATTATTAGAAAAAGAAACATATCTAACTAGTTAGTATAAAGCTTTTTTAAAGAACTTAGACAAAAAAAGGTTTTTTGAAAATAATCAGTAGGTTGTAAATTTATCCTTTTGAAATATAAAAAATCATGTTTTATATTTTTTTTTTTACAGGTTTGATATTTGAAAAGACCAAGAAAATTAAAATAGTAAAATTGTTTGCATCATGATTCTTTTTAAATAATTTTAAAGTTTTTTTGGTAGGAAGATTTAAGACCATTTTCACATTAAAGATCGTTTTATATAATGTAAAATTGAAGTTTTTGTTTTATTTTTAAATCGTACGTAGTAGTATTTACCTATGAAAATTTTCAAAATCGTAGGTCAGTGACTCCTGTTCATCTACAAAATCATGGTGTTTTTTTAGTCAAAAATAACTTTTTTTTTGTGTGTTGGGAATTTTTAAAGGTTATTTTCAAAGCAACAAAAGTTATTATGCCAAAATATATGATTTAACAATGAATAACAATGTGAAAATAATGCATTATACATCACGGACTATTTACGGCCCATTTTGACAATTTTGAAGCCATTAAGGCGTTTACCCATTTCACATACCATTTGCTAACCTCCACAAAAGATCGGTCTTGAATCCGGAAAAAGACCAAAACCATACCAGTTTAAAACGAGAGTGGACAGAAAAAAAACCGGTCCTAAAAAAGACCGCACCGAAAAAAGATCGGCTCGAGACCGTCCAAAATTGGTCCAAGAAAAAACCCACTGTTCTCAGATACGTCCCAAAAAAATCGGACAGTTCCAAAACCGGCACAAGACATATCTGAGACCGACCTGAGACCGGTCCGATCTCAAAAAAGACCGTAAGCCAATGTTTATAAATGTATCATTTTTGTGTTCACTACACAATTTTTAATCACATACTATCTGACTTCATCTTTTTTTTCTTTTTTTTTTTTCATTTAACAAATACTGAAATCGGGTCGAAAAAACCCGAAAACCAAACCGAAAGGCGCACGAAAACACCGTGAAACCGGAACGAAAAAAAACCAAAACCGGTCCCAAAAAAGATTAGACCAAAAGAGACAAGCCCAAAAAAAGATCGAACCGAAAAAAAAAGAGACAAACTCGAGACCAGTGGCAGAACCGGAAATTTTGATATGGATGTACATCGTCAATATATATTATATGTAGTTATCCAATATCGGACATTAAAAAACATGTTATAATCTCTTTTAGTTCGGTTACAATAACATGAAACATGTTTACAAATTATATATATATATATATATATATATATATATATATATATATATATATATATATAACAATTTTTAGGGATACTGTAGTACCCCCAACGCCCCATCTAGTTTCGCCACTGCTTGAGACTGGACGGGACCGGTCCTAAAAAAATTGAATCACTCCGAGACTGACTGCAGAAAGATCGAACATTTTTAAGACTGACCCGAGACCGGTCTAGGACCGCACCATTTAAAATCCTTAATTAATTGTTGATTTGATAAAATCCTTAATTTCTATCAGAAAATTAAAAAAAAAAAAAAAAGCAAATTATAATGAGCATTTGGTTCGTAAGGTATTTCTTTAGTAAAAGAAATTTGTTACTTTGCATAAGTGTTTGGTTGACAAAGAATACAATGTGTTTTCTTTTTTGTTTGCAAAATGGTAAAAATAATGGATGAATAGAACCAAAATAACATCTTATTTGATTTTATAGACTTTATTATTAATAATAATAAAAATGATAAAATTTTTATATATTAAAATCTTATCCGCTTAAAAGCAATGTGGTTAGTTGGCATGAGCGTAGGTGAATGTGTATGGGTAGGAGCAATGTGGTTAGTTGGCATGAGCGTAGGTGAATGTGTATGGGTAGGCGTAGGCGTCTGCGTTGTTTTCTATGTGTTGGTGCGGTTGGGTAGGACAGGATGTGTTTGTGTACATAGGTGTGGAGCATGGTGATGTGAGGTAGGGGTGGAACTGGTACGATTCCAATTTATTTTTCTTTAAAATGTGTACCGTACTAACTATAATTAACATAAAAAAATTGCTACCGGTACCGTACTAAGTATACTTGGTACTAATTTATTTGGCTACCAACAAGTTTGGTTGGTACAAATTGGTAATGGTATATACCAACTTCTTTTAATTTTCTACTGTAAGATTTAAAAATAAGCAACGATATCGGGATTTTGATGTGTAGTATAGAAATTAGTTACGTAGTTTTTTAGTTTACAAAAGAATTCTACTAAAGTAACGCTGGAGTAACGTTTTAATATTGTGTTTTAACGTGGTAATAACTATTGACTAATACGACCAAATGAATAATATAATGTTATTAGACCTCTAAACATTAAATACAATTAACAGTTGAAATATATATATATATATATATATATATATATATATATGAATTGGTTGGTACGATATTACCATGGTATTCCAATTTTTGTACTATTACCGTACCAACAATAATCAATTGATATGATACTACCAACCAAACTTGTTGGCTACCAAATATATTGGCTACCAAGTTTTTTGATTCGGTTGGTAACATGTTTGTTGGTTTTCTATGGTACAATTATGTTAGCCCTAATGTAAGATGTGGTAGAAATAATGATAATATATTTTGATTCCATGTGAGATGATTAAAATAAAAAGGATGTGAGAAAAACTTTTATTTTTGTAATAAAACATAATGAATGTAATCTAAAATCATTCCATTCGACTAAATAATGGTAAATTTCTACCACACAAAATTTAATGGAATATAAAGTGTTTTAATTCCTTTGATTTTGTCAACCAAAATAATTTTTACTATAAGTTACATTCCAATTTTTACTAGATTAACCAAATTTGTTTTATCGATCAACCAAGTTTACAACTTGTTTGCAATACAAATAATCATTGGATATTGCCAATGACGGTTTTTTTTTAATAAAATAGATGTATAAATCTTCATGTTATTTAAAAGCAAAACAATTTTGAGACACTATTTCACTTTCATTTTATGTTTGCAAACGAAAAGCCGAAAGAAAATTCGAAAATAATTTCCAAGGAAAATATCTTTTACAGAATGGCGATATGTTAGTTTTGAATTGAAAGTATAGACATTGGGATTTTGGATATGTTGGTTGACATTGGCGGAACTGGTAGGTGTCCTGGGTCATACTTGATTTCGTCTCCGACAAGGATTTTTTTTTGTATGATTGTGCAACTACAAAAATTATTGTGGGACTATGATTAGGTCTCACATAAATAAATATCGAAATTTTTTTTGTGCCACTACTATTGAATATTCCTGGTTCCGCTACTGTTAGTTGGTCTTCATCCTTAATATTTGACGTTTATTATCTCTAAAATCAATATTAATGGTCTTTGCATCATACGTCCCGTTATACTGTAATAACCCAAAAATCACAACTAAAAATTTCCTTTAAAACATTACTAATACCATATTTATAAAACCATAACATAAGTCATATCATAAATTCAGAGTATCAATTCAAAACATGTTCTCATTATCAGAGTAAACATCCCAAGTTGACTAACTATGGTGGGTGCAAACTGTAAACTGTAAGCACAAAACTTAGTGTGTTCCCCAACCTACCACATACCATACACATAATTACATACTGCAAATATTGGGCCTCACCTGCTACAACAGGCCCCGCCTGCTCCATGCCCTGCCTGGCTTCGAGCCCCGCTTGGTGTACAAATCTGTTTCTCTTAGGCCCCGCCCGCTAAACATACCAAACATATCGCATAACACATAAACCATAACTACTCTAATGCATTCCTGTACTAAGGCCTCGCCTGTCTTGGGCCTCGCCCCTGTCCTGCTAGTGATCAGTTATGGGACCCCATCCATACTCTGCTAATGGTGAGATACGGAACCTCTCCCACACTCACCCCTCTACCAGGCACATACAAGTATCACACAGACAACAAGTATACTTTATCATGCAAATCATTCCTTGGGCACCCGCCCGACGTTGGAACTTGGTCCTGAATATCATACTAGCAAACAGTACTTAGGGCTAACCCCCGGGTCTTCCTACTCATAACTACATGGGCCGTCATTGTGGCCATAGACCCATTCACACAAAAGGGAAACTCACCCGCACTGCTGAACTCTGTTGATAACCCTCTGGCTGCTATCCGAAAACTCCCCGAACTGCTGCTCCTCCAGCTCCCCGAGCTACCAATACCAATAACAACACTTAGCCTAACTGTCCTTAAGAAGCCAACTAACTCAACTCTGGTCAAGGCCATTCTTAAGGTCAAAGTCAATGGTCAGAGTCAACTTCCAGTTGACTCGACTCGTCGAGTTATTCTACCAACTCGTCGAGTCCATTCTCCTCAAATCCCAAAACAACCTCGACTCTACTCATCGAGTCTAGGAACAACTCGACGGGCTCTCCTTCAACTAAACATTCGAGACCATATTCAACCGACTCCCAAGTTGTTCTACAACTCGTCGAGTCCATCTTCATAAGCTAAGGAGATTGCCTTGGAATTGCCGAGTTCCTCCTTAAACTCGTCGAGTACCATGATCTTCATGTCCATTACG